CTCTGATGACCACTAGAATAGACTTTCAAGAAGAACAAAACATTTTTGTCAACCTGAGGCTGCTTTACTTTAGGATCTCTAATGACAGGGTTTATAGTCTTTGCTAGCTAAAATATTATCAGTTCTTCAGGCTCGCTTTCAGGCATTACAATGTGTGTGTAAATGAGAGTTTTCCAGACCAAGCTTCACACCATATAAAAGTATATGGAGCCAGGGTCAGACAGGGCATAGAATTAGCTAGACTTTCATTTACAGTGTGTTACAGTTGTAAGGATCATTCATTCAAGCCCAAATTTTTGCTATTTTCATTACTGCCCAGGTGCTCTCCTGGAAAATTTTCACCTAAGAATTTCACCTAAACAGCTACTGAGTTAATACATGTATATTTAATTTATCTCCCTATTAAGCTAGTGAAATAAGAGCAGTTCCCTCAACATCTTTCCCATGTGAAGTTTTTTTTCCTGTAATAGCAGCAAGACACTTCATCACTCTTGGTTTATGTTTCCCCCTTTTGAAACAGGCATTAAGGGGTTGGCTCACTAGGCAGATTTGTAGCAAGGATAAATTCAGCTATACACATGAAGATGGCAGATATTGAACAAGGAAGTGCCATCCCAGATCAGTATTTCACTGTCCAAGCTGTGGGCTGGCTATGGGAGTTGCCAAGCAGCTCCCATCAGCCAAAGTATCCTTAAATAAATGATAATATTTTTTTGTCTCAAGTTAAAAGATGATCAATTTTGTGCTTTTTGGCATTTATATTTGCAGTCCTTTCAATTTTTAAGAAGGATAATTTATTTTTTTTTTACATTTACTAATGGAGAAGAAGTGGGGATATTTGTTCTACAAGTGCCTGCTCTAGATGGAATATTTCATCTCTATTTATATTTCTTCTTTCTACAATGGGCACAGATATTTTTGTCTCATTATTCATAGACTTCAGAGGATTAGATAAGCAATAATGGTGAACAGGCCAGATTTCTTATTTAGAGGTTCCAGATCCACAAGGCTATGAATAAATAGGACAAACAGATTTAGCAAGGCTTACAGTGTATTAACTTCATCTCGTTTCTCATTAGTTTGGTATCGAGCTTGTCTTATAGTCTGCTGCAGTTGTACTGTATATAAAAATCTGCTCTCAAAACAAGTTGGTAGTTTCTGGATTTATTAATATTGATGGCTGAATGAGGCTCCCAAGTGTGTCATGACATTTCACACTGGAAAAGAAGAAAGTTGCAGCAGCTGTGCAGCATCCCAAGCTCCCTTGCCACCAACCTTTTTTCCTCTACTGTTCAGTCCTTCTTTTCCACCCCACTGAGGACAAAGATGTCTTTCTTTATTTCATGGGTTTGAACCTGTTTGGGAAATAAACGTTCTGCATACATAAAGGCTAATAGCTAACTGCTAGTTTTAGGCTATTCTGGTTAAAAACCCCACCTCATACATGTGCTTTTATGCTGTGCCCTCAGGCATTGTCAGAGGTTATGCTCTTCCATGTCTTGGATGGAAGTGTCAGAGCTATAAGGGCTCAGCTTTGTGAATTAGCTGCTCAAATTCTTTCTCAGTCCTGGAAATAAACAATAGGTAGGTCTTGTATCTCAAAGAAGAGAAGCACACACCCTTCTCTCTCTGCAAAGATCAGCAGGTTTAAGAGAACAAAAGAAAAGGTATTTGCATGTATCTTGCATACTTACTGAAATGGAAGTGACACTGTTCTTACAAGCAGAGGTGTAGAGAGCAATCCAGGCTATTGATTTTTGAACCAAGTCCTTTTGTTCCAAGGGAGAAAGTAATTCGTTCTTACATTAGGCTGTGGCTACATTAGATATTGGAAATTTGTATAGCAAGACAAAAATAATTGCTGCCCTAAAACTTATATAAGTCTGCATCTTCCCTGACAAAATCCCTGGGTAGCTGCAGAATTGGTGACATCTTATCAGTTCTGAGCAGGAATTGTCCCAGAAGAGGGTTCTTGAGTGCTTTGTCATGCAAGTTTGCAGTTTGGACAAGAGCAGCTGAACACTGGTCACTGTCTGACAACTGCCTGAGCTGCAGCTTTCTCCAGTAATGAGCAAGTCAGAGTGTTTTGTATTTTTGTGTTTATGTGTGTGTCTGTCTCAACAGCTCTTGCTACATTGCCTTGCTGTGGAAATTTGCTGTTACAACAAATGCTCTGCTAACTGGTGATGAGATGTTTTAGGAAGCAGCTCTGCATGTACTATGATAAATGAACAGAAGGGCTATTTCATTGCGCTTCTTGGAGAGAAAAAAGTCCTGTTTCCCCTCATTGTCTCTATTTTTGAAAAGGGTTGTCTTTATTTCTTCTCAGTTTGCTGTTTTGTTGGGGTTTTTTTGTTGTAGCCATTTTGGTTCGGGTTTTTGGTAGTTTTTGGTTTTTTGTTGTTGAGTTTTTTTGGAGGCTTTTCTTTTGTTTTTGTTTTGTTTTGTTTTTTTTTTGTTTTGTTTTGTTTTTTGTTTTTCTCACTGCTAGATCACCAGAGCAGCCCAGTATTTGGGAAATTTTCCCAGAATATGTTGACACAATCAGCTTGCTGTCTGTCAGCATCCACAGCTGCTCTGCTGGGAAGGAAAAGGGACCTGCTTATTATTCACTGATGGCTTGTTGAATGCTTAGAGGCTATGATTCCCAGTTTTCTCTCCACCTAACTCCTTCATTTATCCTTCTGGGGAGAAAGTAATACTGTTTGGGAGATACAAAGGGGGTCTAATGGGGTAGAGCTGGGATAGTTCTTCTCTTAAGGTAATTCCCACCCTATTGTAAGAGACAGATTTTCACATGGGTGAATGGGAAAGGGATTTCTTGCCCAAATACTCCTTAGCAGTGTGGAGTGCACAAGGTAAATATCTGTGACTGGCGGACAAAATAATGGTCTGGTTTTGTCTCCTTCTATAAAAAATACAGTCTGGATCCAGAGAGAGAGAGTGGCATTTGTTGGCCCCTCTTGTGACACATCTGTGTGCTTGTGTCTGTCCCCACTTAATTACAATTAAACCCAGTGCTGGATGCAACCCAAGAGTCTCCCACATGCTCCTGTGAATTTCATGAAAATAGGTGTCCGGATGGAAAACAACTGCCCTGCTGAGGGAAGGCCTTCCAAATTCATGCTGTGTCAGACTTTGGGGAAAGCACATTGTGGAGCTTCTCGGGTCATGGCATACATTAGCTCTGTTGAACTCAAACACCTACCTGTTGGGAGTGTTTGGTTTTCAGACTGCCAACAAACCTCGAAAATCAATTAGTCATGCCGCTTTACTTGCAGTACATATTTTCCTGCTGTTCACAGGTAGAAGCTATTTTATATTATCCCTAATTAGTTTTACATTCAGCTTTCCCTGCTGGCTAAGGCAGGCATTGCTTTGTGTACAGGAATTAGATCCCAGGTACCTTCTGAGTTTTTCAAACCTGCTATAAACCTCTCTGAATATCAGCAATGGTGTTTGTTTGTGTATGGCATGCTTGATGGAGAACGAGAAAGTCTGGCAACTGCTTAGTCTCTCCCAAAACTTTTGTCATTGCACTGGGGGGTAAGTGTAAATCCTCTTCTTCCTGTGGCCAGAGCTCAATATTTCTTAGATTTAAATGGATCTTCACAGTTCAGGTCTTCAGAAAGCAGGAAAATGTGTTTAATACATTGTATTTATACCTATTGGTGTATGCACATGCATTCAATCTGTTGTAAGATTGATCCAGGACTTTACATTTCTTAATGTCAAGAATTTTCCTTTGTTGTAGAGAAGGGAAAACCTTCTGTGGGGTGTGAGCTGTGGCTGTTTATCAATAGGGAAGTGATGCAAGGCTGGGGGCTAATTTTCCAGCAGTTATCATTGCACTGAAGTTTGGATAAGCCAAGTAAAATCCACCATCTTGTTAGTGTGTATTTTCCAGACAATTGTTCTGCTAAGGAAGATGGCATAGAGAATGCTCCCACTTATTTTGATGTTTTCCCTAAAACCTCACCCACTCTTTTCTTTATTTGCCAGGCTCTTATGGTTTCTGAGTGCTAAAGAGGATCCTCCCCATCATCTCAACTCTCCTCCTGCCACTTGCTCCACTTGTTCCTCATCTCCCTACATCTTTTTTGCCCTCAGAAAACCGTCCCCAGTTTTCTGTTCCTAATTCCACCTCTCTGCAAGTGGTTCCCTGGGAAGAAGATGGCACATTTTGAGGCTTGGGCTAAGCTGCCCAGTGGCTGCCCAGTTGCTTGGCAGGGCACAGGACATGGGGAATTGCTAAACTCTTCTCCTCAGCCCTGATTTTCGCAGTTTGCTCCAATTCATCTGAGAGAATTCTACCCTCCCTTCCAACTCAGTTGAAACCAGGCAAGCAGCTCAAATGCTGTTAAGAGGAACCTTTCAGACGGGCACAGTGCAGCCATGCAAACACACGCACTTAGAAAACCAGGGCCAGAAACATGCTTTTCCACATAAAGAGTAAGAACATAATAGACTGATCTCACCCCAGCAGAGTGAGCACATTCAGGGTGGTGTGTGAGAGCAAAATTGGAATCTCTGCCTCTATCTCTGCCCTGTCCAGTAGCTATCCTAGAAGCAGATAATTTGGTAATTTCATTCTTACAACTTCAGCTCCCCTAAATGACCTTCAAAATTTATTTGCTTCATTTACTTAGGTTTTAAGAGATTATGCTTAAGTAATGCTTTGCCGCATTTAATTTTTTGTTGTATTTAAATTTAGTGTGTAATGATTGTTTATATTAAATAATAGTGCCACCATCTGAAATTATTAATCAACAAAAGATGGCAGATAATGCATGTTAAGTTCTCTCTGTATTTTGGATCATTTATCTCCCAGGTAACATAAGAAGAATGTTAAATCCTGCTGGAACACACTCCCCAGCTGATGTAAATCGCCAAATGTACAGCAGCTGAATTTCTGGCCCATTATGTTTTCTATGAAAGATTTCTTTGCTTTTTGAGTATTAATTATCCATGATTTTTTTACTTTTCTTGTTTTCTGCCTTTGCAGGTGCTGCTAATTCTCTCAATTTCTTCCAGAAATGGGAAAATTTATCTATATTACGAAATGTGATCTTCCTTTCTCCAGTAAGCTGCATTTTCATTTTTGGCATCCATATTTAAATCCTAATGCACATAGAGATGTGAATGATGTGGGTTTTACTGCTGACAGTTTTAAATCCTACCATGCATCAGCTGCGTAGACAGCTTAACCCCTTCTTGCTCTAGCAGCAGACCATGTATTGTTGTGCAAAAGATGCCCATGTCCCACACTGCACAGATGTCTCTGTCAACAAACTGCCCCAACTTTATGTCCCAAAATTAAATCAGGTAAAAAAGGATGTATCAAGGCTGGATGCTGGGGAGGGGATGAAGGGAAGCCGCTTGCCCCCCAGCCTGCTTGGCACTGGCAGATGCTCCAAAAGCTCCCACCCAAAGGGACCCAGCTGAAGAGGTTCCTTTCCCCTTCCCTGATTCCCCCTTCAGAAAAGCTCAGGGGGAAGCCCACGATTTCTGAGCTCTGGAATGACTTTTCCACATCCTGCTGCTGTATGTGAGGGGCATTTCAAGCACAAGTGGGTTGTATGCCAGGGCAAGGAATATTCCATGCTGCTCCAGAGGAATTCATCACTGGTGACCTGCATCCAGCAGTCGTGGTTGAAGCCACAGCCACGGGAGAAATGCCTCTCTCCATGAGCCTGTGTGTGCTATTTGCCATCTCTCAGTGCTTCCCTCAGGAGCTGCAGCCTGCCTAGAACAGGGGAGAGGGTTAATGCTTCTGTCTCTGCAAGAGTTTAATTGGAAGGGAATTGTCTTTGACTTAATTTCCTCTCTTGTCTCCACTCAAGCCTGGTGGATCAAAAGAAAAGCAAATTGAAAGATAATATTTTGAATGTGCCCGATTTCAAAGTTGAACATGAATAATCTTTCATGCCTCTGACTCAATGTCTGTATCATTTTTGTCATGAAAGTCTTGAAGCAATGAGTATTTCTTGTGGTGACAAAAAGAATTTACTTTTCATCAAGAGAGGAAACCTGAGTGATGCTCTCACAGTACTAGAACACAGCTACTAATTACCTCATGTTATCAAACTTGACATTATCCTTTAGATTAAAATACCATATGTTTTATTTTATAATGAGAGGGCAAAGAACCAGTTACTACAAAATATTAAGCTACTGCATGTCGGGTGGCACTATATAGCAGGGTTTATTCACATAGAAATTCAATTGGCTGATTATTAGATTAACGGTTAATGCAATTTAATATAAAACCCTTCTCTTTTTTCTTTCATCTTCCTTTCTTTCATTGTTATTTTGAATTATAGTACTAGGAAAGTATTTTTCAAGTGGTTAACTTAAGTTTTTTTTCCAGCATCTCTTTATTTGTGAAGAAATGGATTCAAAGGTCCTGTTTTCTTTTTAGTGTTTGTGAAAATGAAGGATAGTTGTGCCTGCACTTCAAGAAGGGTGATTTAGGTAAATGTCTCTGAGGCAGCTTGAGTCAATTTAGCTTAGACTTGCTCTGAAATTCTCTATTGCTTTGCTGCAAACCTTCCCAAGAGAAAAGATTTACTCTTGCTGAGCTGTATTGGAGAAGAAGGTAGTTTTGTTGGTGTCCTACATTATGGCTGACAAAAAGGGTAGAGAAAAATGCTACATTGAACCACATCAATGGGGAGGAGAAAATATTTACTCAATTTTTCTCCACATGTTCATTCTAGGGGTAATGGATGTCAGTTGTCTTCTCCGAAATTCACATCAAACTTACCCAAGAAATCTATAAGGATTTTTTTTTATTGATGGTTTTCCAAGAATTCCTCATTTTCAAAGCACACATGAGAGGTTTTTCCACAACTTCTTGAGTGCAGATACTAGAGCCCTACATTTTGGCTGACACATTGGTAGAATAAATGCCCAGATCTACATTCAGCCCTGTCTTGGGAAGGCCTAAGTATAAATTTATGGATGGAAAAGTAACACAAAAACCCCGCCTACTCCTCTGCCATTCAGACCATACTGTTCTGAGAATGTGCTCCAGATCTGCACCATGGAACACAGGGGAAAGCAAAGTCTTGAGACAGAACAAAGGGAGAAGATGCAAGGGTAAATGCTGTTTTCCCATTACCATGGCACTTATTCATAGATTGGGAGAAATAAGTGGTGCCTGCTCTTGGAACAGAACCATTCCTTTGCTCATGCAGAGACATCTCTCAAGCCAGCTGTGCTGCCTTCGAGTTCCTTGTTATCAACTCTTACAAGTGTGGGGGAAAGCAACAAAATCATGACAATGATAAATGCTGCTTCTTTACACACCCACATGGTGCCAGCCTGGTTTGTGGTCCAAAAGCCCCTCTGTGGTCTGGCTCTGAGTAAACAGAGTTATTAGCAGTCATGGGAGGCTGCGAGGTTGGAGGTTGGAGCTGACCGGTTGTTGCAGAAAAACAACAGATTCCTCCTCTTCTTCTTCATTTTTTGTTGTTGGGTTTTTTTTTTGTTTCCTGGGCTCCTTTTATTGCTGAATCTTCCACACTTCAGAGTAGAGAGAGCTCTGTTGTTGTCTGGTGGCCAAAAACAAAATCACATAAAGGGGGAAGAGAAAGGCCAGTAAAACAAAGAGTAAAACAAAGCTGTCTCTCGCCACCAGCTCATTAACAAAGGCAGCAAGTGATCCCGTAGTGCCACCAGGTAGTGCCCCTGGGCTGGCAGGGTGCCCATCTGTGCCATCTGCTGCGTATCAAGCCTTCCTCTGCTTCCCATCACGCAGAACCTGCTGCAGCCAGGCGCTGCTTCCCTGCTGAAAGCGCTGCGGCACACAGCCAGCCCAGGTTAGCAGCTCCATAGCTTGTGCTGCAAAAAAAGGGAAAGGGAGGGAGGAGTGTGCATTGCACCTTTGTAGTTTCACAGTTATAATCGCTGCCATGGTATTTGTGAGTGTAATAGGACATTTTTCTAGCTGTTTGCAACAGGTCAGTGTCCTGCTTCCCATGTGCCATCTCACTAAAATGGCTCTTTTTGTCTGCTGAGTACAACTTTAGGTGCAGGTTAGTAAAACAGCTACAGTGGAATCATTGATGTGATTATTGGGTTGAAGGGGAACAATAAATGAAAATATGTTGTGTCTATTATGAGATGCAGGACTCAAAATGACTGACAGTCGTATAGAAGTGGGAATGAAATAGTTCTCTTTTTTGAGACTCAAAAAAAGGCTGTAGTAAAAAGCTCAGTATTTTACTCCATGTCAGATGATTTCTCTTCTATCTGAACTGGCACATTTCCTAGAACAATATTGTTTAAGGAAATAACTAGCCCATCAGAATGTTTTTCTTTTGCTGTGTATCATCTGCACAGCATTTTGCTCTGCTCAGAAAGGTAGAGTATGAGAACAGAAGGAAGCTGGAAGGAAGAGTCATTTCAAGCCTCTAAACAACAATACAGCATCTCCAAGCAAAGTGATAGAAGTGTAAGAGAACTTCGCTAATAAGTTAAGCATTGACAGATTCAGTGAGAGAAAATACATCCCAAATATCATAATTTCTTTCAGGTTTTACAAGGCCACATCATCAGTACTTCAAATCAATAAGTATGTTAAGGCCTGTGTCTGAGATTACAGTAAAGCTATCTAATTTCCACGGTGCAAGGAACTCCCAACAAATTTTGTAAAATCCATAAGTCTAGAAGTCTTGCATGTGAACACAATCATGTTGTTCTAGTCTTAAAAATTGAAAATATAAGATGGTACAAAATGTTCTGAAATGTCATAGGACTCTCTGCTTGGATGAGATGCTGCTAAAAAAGCCTGTTAGGGTTAGAAAATAAGGTTTTAGTTCAACTCCTGCTGGTCTGTGTTAAAGGAGAGTTTGATTTAAAGGCCCTTCTGTCTAAAAAACCCAACCACAGAAGAATTTAATTTCCAGTCTCATAAGCCTGGGTTCTTTGGATAACTCTCACCTCTGGCATTTTACCTTTTGGGGTTTTGTTTTCTGCTTTCTAAGTTGGGAATCTTGGAAACACATCAAAATTAAAAGAGGATGGGCAAAAGAGGTGTTGTGCCAGGAATAGTGCAAGTTTTACATGATTTTACTTTTAGACTGCTTTTCTTTCAACTTGAATGGGCTCACTATACTTCAGAGCACTTGCAAGAATAGCTCATGCATTGATATGTGATGTTGGATTTGAAGTGTTAGGCAGACACCCTAATAAATAGTGTGATATTTAAAGAGGATGAAATGACACCTAGTGAGTTATTAACTTTTATTTTGTGCATTTTGCCATCTGTGTTTCTTGCTAAGCTTCTCGTGTTCTTAAATGCAGATCCAGTAGTTTAGCTGATTTTGTACTGAAGCAACTCTGATGGAGCAAAACCTAAGTTTTCAAAGCAGACTTGCCAAATTTGCCAATACTGATCTGGAAGTCAAATACCCAGGTGTTTTGAAGAGTGAAAATGCTGGAAAGTGAGTATCTCGCTGACAGTTTTGAGTCCTTTTCAAAACCTAACGTTCATTTTGCCACCTCTCCCTGAGATCCTTTGAAAAATAGAATTCTAAATGTGCATGTTGAGCATTTAAAAATTAGTCTTTGGGCTCTTTTTGGAAAGAACTCTGCAGCTCTTTTGAACAGTTAAGGTAATTACTGCATCCCCTGAACTCTACTGACATGGTGCAGATAGGAAAAAGAGCCATCAATGCCTTGCATCAACGTTTAATTGCATTAATGTGCATTTGACTAAAGCAGACATTTGCTGGAAACGTGTACTCCAAAAACCACGCAGATGTAGTTTTAAAAATGTTGAAATGAATTGGCCTGAGCTTTTTACTTTTGCTAAAATATGAGTCAGTACTTTTACATTTAAAAAAAACTCATTTCTGTTTCAAGGGATCTTTTTGAGACTGTAACCAATGCCAAAGAACGGCTGTACCACACAAGTGCAGGAAAGAAACTCTTCTTTTTCCCCCCAAAATACATAGAAAACCCATAGTTTCTGATCTTGCTGCAGCTGATTTGCTACATCTTTAACTTTGCAATCTAAAGTCATATGTCAGAGATTTGTGCTGCTTTACTTTTACCAGAAGTCCTTCTCTTCTGTAGCTTGATATCAGCTAAAATTGGGTTCACTGTTTTTTCCAGAGCAGGGTGACAGGATGAGAATTCCCCTGGCTTTGCTGTGGCAGCTGCTGCCCGGGCTGCACACCCAGCTGAGGAAGCAGACCAGGAAAGGGTGCTCAGAGTAGTTCCTGCAGCTGAAGAAAGAGCCTACACCAAACCCAGGACTTGCCTGTGGGTCACCACACTGCTTTTGGAGGAGATTTTTAAGGAGTTGTGAGACTTCGGACTCAAAGCATTATATCATGGTGAAAAAAGGTATTGCAGGTACTGCGGAGAGGCACAGCATCTGGTCTGGGCTAACTGAAATAGTTCACTCCTTTTCTGAGCAAAATGTCTCTTCAGCCTGACTTAGAGCATTCAGTTCAATGTCCATCAAGTGTTTCAGGTTGTTCATTTGGGGTTTGCCACTTTAGATTTTGCCCTTTTCACATGCTACCTCCAGACATTTCTTTTTGAACCCACTGGCAGGCAGTACTCCAACATGTCTGATTTTTTCCCTTTCTCTTTCCCAGGCAAAACTTCTCATCAGACAACCAGAATTTGCAGTTTCCATCTGCCCCAAGCTGAACTTTGGGCTAGAGGAGTAGCTGCAGGCTGCTGATGTCCTAAGAAGCACAGGGTTTGGGGTCTATCTGTGCCGCAGCACCAAGAGTTCATTTATCTCTCTCTGGTAAGTACATGCAATGTGGACTCACATGTAGCTTTTATGTAATCTTCCTTTAGGGGAACATCTAAGGTTCCTCTGCAAATGCTTCCTTGAGGCTGTGTGTTGGGTGAGCACATCCCACAATAATCCTGGCCTGTGCTGGAAATGCTCATACAGTAAAATCTGCTCATGGTTTCCACTAGTTTTGCTGGATAAGGTAGATGATGTTGTGTGGAGAGCATGCAGCCTGAGCAGAGTCGTGTGGGAGCACTTGGGCTGACCTGCTCTAACTTCAGAGTGTGCACAGAATTAAATGCATCAGGGAGAACTGCAGGGCTCCTCTCCTGAATGACAGAAGTCCCTCTTGACAGACACAGGGAAGCTGGAATTGCTGTTTGGCCCCCTGTACCGGTACAACACCGCTTCTGACATTCAAACAACAGTTTAATTTTTCTGGGGAGAAAATGTCTCTAAAATTTCTGGGGAAAAAGCTAAGTAAACCTTCAGAAAACTGCAGATGGAAAGCTTGTATTTATGTAAAATGGAAACATGCTGTGAATCATTGGAGAAAACCTATATTTTCTTGCCAATTATAACAATATTAGGTAGCAGTGATGGTTTCCAAGGCAACCTGGCCACGGGTGCATTCATGTGGAGTGTGTGTGACTACCTGCTTTGTCAAGCAATGGATGCATGTCAGAAGGTAGTGTGTGGGGGGAGTACAGATCATTTCATCAATCTACACTACAAAAACTATTTAAAAGCAGAGAGTTTGGGGTTTGGGTTTTTTTAGTTGTATGTCTGATTGTGCTGAGCATTTCACTGCTTTTCTAGAATAGGCAAGACATGGGAATAGGCAGATATGTGGGAGCCAGGCTGAAGACACCTGGCTCGTAGGATGTCCAGAGGTGTGTTGGAGGAGGTCTTCTAGCACAAATTAGTGTGAAGTCTGTTCATACATCCTCTGTGGATGTAAAAAAATGTACAGCATCTTTCCCCAAAAAACTTCCTTCTTCCTTTTTCCTGAACTGACACCAGCCTGTATTTCCCAAGGTGTTAAACCAAAAAGGTTTTTCCAATACCTCAGGTTTCTTGCCTTCAATTGCAGTGTTTGGTACACCTTATGTTTTTTCTGCCCCTCGTTCCTCTCCAACACATCTTTATTTGGTGTATTGAAGCTTTCCTGGCCTCTCCAGCTGTCTTGTGAAGCAGAGAGCAGCACACAGTGTAGTCCTTCCATATGTTTTCTTCAAGCTCTTGTTTCCTCTGAAGAGCCATTGCAGTTAAATATTGTGTGAGGACCCTGCTGTCAGTCTCCAGGGAATTCACTGCCTTGTCTTTGACCTTTTAAAAACTTCCAAGACCTGCACATTTAGTTTATTTAGAAAAATATTATCAGGGCTGCCCAATACCTGATACAGCTATCAGGAAAATAAAAAAAACCAACCCTGTAGCCATCCAAGGGAACTGAGAAAGCAAGGTGATTCATGTTCATCAGTCTTGACTGCTTTCCAGATTGCTAAGGCAGCTGTGACACAGCCATGATGTAGAGTCCATCCCTCACTTTAGCCAGTCAGGTAAACTGAGCCTGCAGGTCTGGCCTGGCATCACTAGAAGCAGGGAAGATCACCAGGGGATGTAGCTGTAGCCTGAGATTTGGCTGAAAATTTCCATTTTTCTTCAGTAGCAGTCCCCTTTCCAAATGCATTTTACTTCAGGAAAAGGCTGAGAGGATTCCCAATTGCCTTTCTGTAAGCCAAAACTGTTGTGGTATTGAGTTCACTGTAACTTTGCAGCTTCCCCTGAGAATTAAACCAGTCATGTGAGGTGTTCAGTGAGCAGTTACTCATTGAAAAATGCCAGTGTGATGCCTGCTGGCTCCAACCCCACTGAAACTCTGCTAATGTGCATAGCCACATTCCTTGCTCAGCGCTGCTTTCAGAGTACTCAGGGCAGCTGCTGTGTGCAGGGAATGGCAATCAGGCCCTCAGCACCTAGAAGTAAGCTTGAGTGAGAAATTAGGATGCTGGGAATTTCTGCTTAAATTATTTCACCTAACCATTGCCTTTTACCGTGGATTACAAAATGCCCTCTGTGCATGGAGATGTGGATGCTCACACACACCTAACTCAGCTCGAGAGCTCACACTTGTGAGCAGTGAGAACCCACCCAGCTGACCAAGCTGGGAAAATGTACCCATCCACCTTCCCAGAGACCTTCCTCTGCACTGGCTCTTCTGAAACTGTAGCATAAGCCTGTTTTATCCTTGCTTGTGGGCAAGGGAAGATAAAACTTGGAAAGAGCCAGCCCAGATTGTCTCTTTCAGTACCTAAAAGGGGCCTGCAGGAAAGCTGGAGGAGGACTTTCTGCTATGGCTTGTTGTGGTAAGAGAAGGAGAAATGGATTTAAGCTGAAAGAGGGTAGGTTAGATCAGATATTAGGAAGAAATTTGTTGCTGTGGGGTGGTGAGGCACTGGAATTGGGTCTCAGAGAAGCAGTGGGTGCCTCATCCCTGGACATTGATGGAAGGCATCTAAAGGTGGCAGGAGCTTTTAAGCCCTAAATATGTCATTGAATACTTTGGCCCAAGTGATTCAGGTGCCCCTAATGCTTGAATCTTGTGTTTAAGCCTCTCAGCCCCCTTAGGGTTCCACATTATTTGGTAGTTTGGGTTCCAGAGAAAGATGCATCAAGCTCTTGCCTTTAGAGCCAAAATCAAACACAGAATTGAATTTCCTTTCCTTTTTACAATCTGGGACACTTGACAGAGCTACAGAAATCCCATTTGAAAAACGATAGCTGTTGATTTTCTGCTTGCTGAGAATTATTAGTATTTTTTCTATCCTGCAAAACCAGCCATTAAATCAGCAAAATGCCTTGGTATTAGAACCATTTGGAATGTGAAAAATACTGCTGCTTCTTGTTGAGCTGCAAATGTTCAGTTACAAAGTTAAGGGAAAATCTAAAAGTACGAATAATGATCTTAATTTGAAAGACATTTTACAAGTAAACATACTACAGCTGTAGCTACAAATCAGATAATTGCTGAACATTTTAGAACCCAAGAGTATAAAATTAAAAACAATAAAATCAAATTTAAGTCCAAACAAATAAGAGGGGAATTCTAAGTAGAAGTTTCATATTATTGATTTTTTTTTATGGACCATTTCTTTATCTCTAAAACCTCAAGTACCACATAGTGGTCTCTAATCATCTACGTTATAATATTTAAATGAGCATATACTTTAACATAAAGTGGTTTACAGTCAGTTTTTCTATTACTGTATAAGAAATGTATCCATGAAACATAAAAAGGTCAACCGCTTCAATGAAATAACTTTTAAAAATAATATGGTTTTACAGCCATACATAAATATATATATTTTATTATGTCAAAGAATATGAAAGAATATAGCTCTGTGTTAAACTGCAAGTCTTTCAAGGAGGATACATTAGCATTAAACTGGGATGTATGATCACTGAAATACATTATTTCTGCTTTGGACTTTACATTTCCAAGAGAAAGGTTTTTCTTCTCCCTACTTCCCAACTTTTTTCTCCACTCATGAGAGTTTTTCAAAGTACTAATACATCTTGTCACAATGTATTTTGGTAATGACTAATTAGACACTGGGGGCTGTGCTCACCTCCTGTATTCTGTCCAGCTCTGACACGCCAGGACAGCCCAGCTGGTCTGACCATGCTTTGGGAGGCTGCTGGCAGCTGGGATCAGAGCAAAGCTGAGGTGCAGCCACAATGCAGGTGACAGAGAGGGTCTGGAAATATGCCAAGATGGGAAATAGCCAATATCACAAGATGGGAAATAGCCAGGATGGGACTTGGACTGAGGGGAACATGCAAAGAGACAGTGCTTAGGTTGATGGGTGTGGGACATTCATCAGAACTCCCTGAGAAGGCAAAACAAAAGGGAGAAGAGACCAGAAAATATATTTTTTATATATATTTGGCCCCACTGTCTGCCTGTGACAAAGTATGGCTTGGTCTGAGCCGATCCTCAGAGAAATTCCAAATCCCTGGATGGGTTTTGTAACTTCTGACAAGTCTATAGCAGCCCAGAAATCTCTGCTGAGCTGCCAGCTAGTTCCTTCTGTGCAGGCTGCCAGCATGTCCCCCTTGACTGTGGGATCCCAGGAATACAGGTTCCCAAATCATCCACTGTTCCACTGTTAACTAATATCTCTAGGCCATACCTAACCTAAGTCTAATGCACCTAATTAAAAGGGTAAGCTTATTTCTGAGGAGCAGCTGTTCAGAGTTGGGAGGTAGAAGAAAGGTAAAAAGCATTCCCATTCCCTTCACATCCTTCCTCTGAAGCAATCAATAAGTTTAATTAGAGTGGTTAGGAACGAACTATGAAAGCAGCAAAGTTAGTATCAGATAAATTAGGGAAATATTGGGACAGGAGAAATATTTGTGACATTTTTAACAGAAATCTGACGTAGGTAATTGCCAGTGCTGCCTGTTCTGAAGGGGAGGAGTGCATGCATCAGGGCCTCGCAGCAGTGGAAGGAAAGTCTATTATAATCCATCCATTTCACACACTGTGACTGCAGTCTCCATGAGTAATTGGAGGGGAGTGTGGTGTAACACCCACACCACCCTGCTTGAAAATACTGGTGTTCTCTTGCTGATTACCCCTGAAGTCAATGGGCAGCATACAGGTTTGGTATAATGCAGTAGGACATAATCCTTCTGTGTGCAAGTCATTGCATTTTGCACGTACTCTTTTCTCTGGTACAGAAAGAAATCTGTTCAAAGTAAGCCATATCTCTTCCATTTCTACTTGCAGCTGTGCTGGACTGTGCCTCTTAAAAATGCTTAATTACATATTTTTAATGAGATCCTCTCTCAAAGGATGGGCACAATTCTAAGATGTGGATGTTCTACAGTAGGGATCCTTTATAACTGCAGTCATTGCCTTCCTGAAGAAAGAATTTTAAGAAAAACACTTTATTTCTAAATCAAATTTTGTTTGTGGTGGGACTGTCCGTACTTTTGAAGTT